GACACTTTTGAGGGTTTGAGGAGACACTTTTGAGGGTTTTAGGAGACACTTTTGAGGGTTTTAGGAGACACTTTTGAGGGTTTGGTGGGGGCAAATGAGGGGACAAAAGGAGACAAAGAAAAGCAAAAGGAGACAAAAGCGCAGCAGCAGCCACGAGGAGACAGTGAGAAATAAAAGGAGACAAAAAAGAAGCAAAAAGGAGACAAAAAAGCAGCAAAAAGGAGACAAAAAAGAGACAAAAAAGGACAAAAAAGAGACAAAAAGGGCAAAAAAGAGACAAAAAGGGGACCCTAAAAGAGACAAAAAGAGGCAAAAAGGGGCCAACAAAAGAGACAATAAAGGGGACAATAAAGGGGACAAAAAGGGGACAAAAAGGAGACAAAAAGGGGACAAAAAGGAGACAAAAAAGAGAAAAAAATACCTCTTTTTCTTTGATTTGTTTCTGGAAAAAGGCCTGGATCTTCTTGAGGCCGCAAAATTGGCGGTAAGAACTGCTGAGGGCGACGCGGCGGCCGAGGGCCTCTTCGGGGGAAAAGAGGGCCTCGAGGTAGGGCGTCTGGGGCGGAAAAGGGACCAAAAGGAGACAAAAAGGAGACAAAAGGAGACAAAAAAGAGACAAAAAAGAGACAGATTTGAACGCAGCAACTCCGCGAGAGTCAGCAGCAGAAAATGCAGAAAAAATCCGCCAAAAAGAACTCAAAAAATCACAAAAAGAGACAAAAGAGACAAAAGGAGACAAAAGGAGACAAAAGGAGAGACTGGGGCTTGAAGAACTAAAGACCAAAGGAGACAAAAAGAATTAAAAAGAAATAAAATGAATTAAAAAGAATTAAAAAGAATTAAATGAATTAAAAAGAATAAAAAGAATAAAAAGGAATTAAAAAGAAAAAAAAGGAATTAAAAAGAGTTCAAGAGAACAAAAAAGGAAGAAAAAAGAATAAAAAGAATAAAAAGAATAAAAAGAATAAAAATAATAAAAAGAATAAAAAGAATAAAAAGAATAAAAAAACAAAAAGGCAAAAAGAGACAAAGGAGACAGCAAAGTGCCACGCAGAGCAGCAGCGCAGCAGCAGCGCTCCCTTCCCATCCCGCTGCTGCTGCTGCTGCTGCTGCTGCTGCTGCTGCTGCTGCTGCTGCTTACGTCTAGGAACTGCTGCAGCAGCTGCTGCTGCGTGAGCGGCAGCAGCGGGAGTTGCTGCTGCTCTGGCTGTTCCAACTGTCTCCTTTTGTAGAGGTTGCGGATCTCCTTGAGGCGGTCATAGAAGTTGACCCAGACGTCGCTGCTGCTGCTGCTGCCTGCTGCAGCAGCAGCAGCAGCAGCAGCAGCAGCGCGGCCGCCCCGCCGCTGCCCCCCCAGAAACAGAGTCTCCTCAGCCTTCAAACTGTCTCCGTCTAAGTGCAAAGCCAACACTTGTCTCCCTGTCTCCTCCAGCTTTTGGAGACAGTCTCCGAGGGCCCACTTGAGTTGAAGAGTCTCTCTGCGGGTTTTCTCGCTGCGGCGTTTGGGGCGCAGCGCGAGGGGGGCTAGCTGCTGCTGCTGCTGCTGCTGCTGCTGCTGCTGCTCCTCCCCCTCCAGCTCCTGCTGCTGCAGCAGCAGCTGCGCAGCCACCTCCTCCAGCTTCTCCATCTCCTCCTGCGCCGCCCGCAGCAGCTCCAGCACCGAAGTCGCCATTGCAGCAGCAGCAGCAGCGCAGCAGCAGCAGCAGCAGCAGCAGCAGCAGCGGCAGCAGCAGCGCCCCGCGCTGCAGCAGCAACTATCGCCTGCGAGGCTCTCCCGCCGTTTTTCGCTTATTCCGCTCTAATTCACTTTTTTTTGCCACAAAAATGCTATTTGCTGCTGCATGCAACAGCCCCGAGCAGCAGCAGCAGCAGCAGCAGCAGCAGCAGCCGCTGCAGCAGCCCTGCAGCAGCGGCAGCAGCAGCCGCTGCAGCGGCAGCAGCCCCAGCAGCAGCTGAGCGCTGGCTGGCGGCCGCGCCCCAGCAGCAGCGCTAGCTCCCGTTGTGTTGCTGCTGCTGTTCGTTGCTGCTCTTGCTGCTGCTGCTGCTGCTGCTGCTGCTCCTGCTGCATGCGTCGAGTCTGCTGCAGCGGAGACTTCCGGTTTGCTGCACCTCTTTGCAAAGGAAATTGTTTTCTTGAATTTCTTTTTCTTTTTGCTTTTCCTTTTTAAACTGCAGCACAACTTCCCGCTAGCCATCGGGCCTGCTGCTGCTGCTGCTGCTGCTGCTGCTGCTGCTGCTGCTGCGGGCTCTTGCTAGTTCCCAGCGGCTCCCGCCGGGCGGTTTAGGGTTTAGGGTTTAGGGTTTAGGGTTTAGGGTTTGGGGTCCAGGCTGAAGGGCCCAATGTCTTTTCAGTGTCTTTCGTGTGCGCGGACCTGGCTGTAGCCCTGCTCCCCACGACTAGGGTTTAGGGTTTAGGGTTTAGGGTTTAGGGTTTAGGGTTTAGGGTTTAGGGTTTAGGGTTTGAGGATGTCGTTTGCTGCGCACCTGCAGCGCCGCTGCCCCTTTCTCGCGCGGCACCAAGCAGCAGCTTTGGAGTCTCTTCTTCCTTTTACTCTTTTGTGTCCTGTTGCATCAAAGACTTTAAACTTTTCTGTTCACAAAAGCCACAATGCTGCTGCTGCTGCTGCTGCTGCAGCAGCAGCAGCAGCAGCAGCAGCAGCAGAGCCCGCGCTGGCGGCCGCGCACAAGCAGCAGCTGCAGCACGAGCAGCTGCAGCTCGAAAAGAAGCTGCAGCAGCAGCAGAGGCAGCTGCAGCAGCTGCAGCAGCAGCAGCTCCAGCTCCAGCTGCAGCAGCAGAAGCTCCAGCAGCACAAGCAGCAGCTGCAGCAGCAGCAGCTGCAGCAGCAGCAGCAGCAGCAGCAGCAGCAGCAGCAGCAGCAGCCGCTGCCTGAGGGCTTTTACAATTCCGCGGCGGACGCAAAACTCGCAGAACTCCACACAGAGGGAAGGTCAGACTGTCTCCTTTTATTTTATTTATTTTATTTAATTTATTTTATTTTATTTTATTTTATTTATTTTATTTATTTTATTTATTTTATTTATTTTATTTATTTTATTTTATTTTGTTTTGTTTTGTTTTATTTTAATTTGTTTTTCATTTTTGTTTTTTGTTCTTTTTGTCTCCTTTTTTGTCTCCTTTTAGTCTCCTTTTCGATCTTTCTTTTTTCCTTTTTTCTCTTTTCTTTTTGTCTCCTTTTATTTCTTTTATTTATTTTTTATTTTCTTTTTTTGTTTCTTTTTGTTTTCTTTTTTCTCTTTTATTTTCATCTTTTTGGCCTCTTTTTGTCTCCTTTTTGTCTCCTTTTTGTCTCCTTTTTATTTCTTTATTTCCTTTTTATTTCCTTTTTGTCTCCTCTTTATTTGTCTCCTTTTTAACTCCTTTTTATTTCTTTTTATTTCCTTTTATTTCCTTTTATTTCCTTTGATATTTCCTTTTTTATTTTTGTTTATTTCCTTTTTGTCTCTTTTTTGTTTCTTTTTTGTCTCCTTTTTATCTTTTTTTAATCTTCTTTTTGCCCGCTTTTTGTCTCCTTTTTATTTTCTTCTTTTTTTATTTTTGTCTTTTTTAATTTCCTTTTTATTTCCATTTTGTCTCTTTTTTATTTTCTTTTTATTTCTTTTTGTTATTTCCTTTTTGTCTCCTTTTTTTCTGTTTCTAACCATCTCTTTGTTTAATTAATTAATCATAACAAATTAATTAATTAATTGATAATTATAATTAATTAATTAATTATAATTGATTAATTAATCAACAATAACAATACAATTAATTAATGAATTAATATAATTAAATAACTAAAATATTTATTTATTTATTTATTTATTTATTTATTTACTTACTTATTTTTTCACTTAAAGAGACAAATGGGGGCCCCCCAAAAGGCCCTTTTGAGGGCATCATTATTTAGAGCTCTATTTATTATTTACAATGAATTAAGAATTAATAATTATTATTTATTTATTTATTTATTTATTTATTTATTTATTTATTTATTTATTTATTTATTTATTTATTTATTCAGATATAGAGTTTTTGCGCATTTGAGGAGACAAGTGGGGGCCCCCCAAAAGGCCCTTTTGAGGGGCATAATTATTAATGGCATTACTAATGATTAATTATTATTTATTATTTAAATAATTAATTAATTAATTAATTAATTAATTAATTTATTTATTTATTTATTTATTCAGATATAGAGTTTTTGCGCATTTGAGGAGACAAGTGGGGGCCCCCCAAAAGGCCCTTTTGAGGGGCCCCTCGGGAGACACCGAAGTGACCCTTTGGTGCAGCAACGACTACCTGGGCATGAGCCAACACCCCCGCGTCATAAAGGTCCTTTTTGTCCCTTTTTTTCTCCTTTTTTTCTCCTTTTTTTCTCCTTTTTTTCTCCTTTTTGGCTCCTTTTTGTCTCCTTTTTGTCCCCTTTTTGTCTCCTTTTGGTTCTCCTTTTTGTCTCCTTTTGTTTCTCCTTTTTGTCTCCTTTTTTTCTCTTCTTTTGCGCTCTTTTGGGCGCGTTTTAGGCGCTTTTTAAACTCCTTTCGGTCTTTTTTTGTCCCTTTTTGTCTCTTTTTTGTCTCTTTTTTGTCTCCTTTTCTTCCCCTTTTTGTCTCCTTTTTGTCCCCTTTTTGTCTCCTTATTTGTTTCCTTATTTGCTCTCCAAACTGCAGCAAAAGTGCCTCCAAACTGCAGCAAAAGTGTCTCCAAACCGCAGCAAAAGTGTCTCCAAATTGCCGCAAAAGTGCCTCCAAACTGCAGCAAAAGTGTCTCTAGAAGTGCCTCCAAACTGCTTCAAAAGTGCCTCCAAACTGCTTCAAAAGTGCCTCCAAACTGCTTCAAAAGTGTCTCTGAACAGCAGCAAAAGTGTCTCCAAACAGCAGCAAAAGTGTCTCCAAACTGCAGCAAAAGTGTCTCCAAACAGCAGCAAAAGTGTCTCCAAACTGCCGCAGGCCGCGCAAGAGGCCCTCGCCAGCAGCGGCGCCGGCAGCGGCGGCACTCGCAACATCTCGGGTTCGAACGTTTACCACCAGGCCCTGGAAAAGGAGATCGCAGACTGGTCCGTTTTTGGCCATTTTTGTCTCCTTTTTGTCTCCTTTTTGTCTCCTTTTTGTCTCCTTTTTGGCTCCTTTTTGTCTCCTTTTGGTCTCCTTTCTTTTCTCTTTCTTTGTCTCTTTTTTGTCTCTTTTTTGTCTCTTTTTTGTCTCTTTTTTGTCTCTTTTTTGTCTCTTTTTTGTCTCTTTTTTGTCTCTTTTTTGGCTTTTTTGGCTCATTTTGGGCCTTTTTCTCGACTGTCTCCAACTGTCTCCTTATTTCCCCTAACTTCAACTGTCTCCACCAATTGTCTCCAAAACCCTCTCCAAACCCTAAACCCTAAACCCTCTCCAAACCCTAAACCCCAAACCCTCTCCAAACCCCGTCCACCCCAAACCCCAAACCCTAAACCCCAAACCCTCTCCAACCCGCTCTCCAAACCCTCTCCAAACCCCTCCCCCCCCCTCCCCCAACCCCTCGCCCCCCAGTTCGCAAACCCTAATTTAGGGTTTACGCAGGCAC